CCTTTCCAAGCCAACTCCATCGTGCCCAACATGAATTATCCCCGTATGTCTGCAGAGAGTTTGTTGTCCAAGTATCACAAAAGTCAGAGGCCTCTCATCATTATGAAACTAACTTCTTAAAAATACCCCAGCATTTGCCAGTTCAATAGCTTTGGACTGGCTTAGGAGCATTAAAACCTTTTTCTTTTAAGAGGAAAAAATCCCAACCAGGCTGAGAAAGCGCATATCAAGTTTCAGCTTGATTCACTTCAAAACCACCATGAAAATTGGGACATTTTCTCCACACCACGATGGGTTAGTCATGGAAATTCTGCCTTAATTGTAGCTACCATGGCCACAGTCATGAGGTATATGCTCTGTGCCACTAAAAAGTGATGTGACAGTACTGGAGAGTTTCTCCTCTTCACTGTCAGAAAGCAGAAATGTGTTACAGTTCATGATCTATGGAAACCTGCCAGGGTAACCTCAGGTTCCCTTTTCAGCAAGCAATCTAATATTTGGTGCATTTTTTTCTGAAGGCAGTTTGGTTTGGTTGCTGTTTCCAAAAAGTGCTCTTTCCAAACTAAAACTATAGAAAGTTAAACTTAGCAGAAATGTGCAGTAAGCTGGGTGTGTGGTGGCTCATACCTGTAATCCCAGCACTTTGGGAGGCCGAGGCAGGTGGATCACTTGAGGTCAGGAGTTCGAGACCAGCCTGACCAACATGGTGAAACCCCATCTCTACTAAAAATACAAAAATTAGCCAGGTATGGTGGTACACACCTGTAATCCCGGCTACTAGGGAGGCTAAGGCAGGAGAATTGCCTGAACCTGGGAGGTGGAGGTTGCAGTGAGCCAAGATTGCATCACTATACTCCAGACTGGGTGACAGAGCAAGACTCTGTCTCAAAAAAAAGAAAAAAAGTACTTTAAGAGATTAAGAGTGGCTTCCCCTGAGGGACTCTGACCTTTCTCTTATTCATGAGTGATAGAAATAGAGCAGTCTTCTCTGCCATCTGTCCTGGAGACATTTGCTAAGCGTGGCCAGGCTTCAATGTGCATAGGCCTTCTTAGTGCAAACCTCAACCAGTAAAACAGAATGGCCAGTCAGCCTTCTCTGCATCATAGCAGAGAATGGTTCTTCAGCCTCAAAGCTGCTCGTGTCCTGCTAGGAGCCAACTTCTATAAGCTACACTCCTGGTTTTTTTCTTGCAATCATTTGTTCATTCATTCGCTTATTTCTTCATTGACAAAAGAGCCAGCATGTTTTACCCATGAACATTCTAGACTTTGAGAGCACAAGGATGAGTTCCTGCCCTGCTGGGGCTCACAGCCTAAGTGCGAAAGACAGACATCACACTTCTGGTTTGTTTTAAAAGTGTGATTCATTACAGACTGCTACCTCACACATTGTCAAATCCTAAACTCCCAGGTGGACTTAATTCAGTGGGCCCTTAATTCGGAGGATGTGGGGGCAGCAAAGACGGAGTCCTCCCTGGAGTCTTGGCAGAAGTTTCCTGATATGAACTTGTCCACCCCTACACACAAGTGGACTTACCAAGTCCATCCCAAGTCGACCTGAAGCTGTCCCATCCCTTCCCCTGGCTCCCTGCATTCCTCTCCCACCCGTTATGCTGGGTCACATTTCGGGCATCTTCCTGGCTCCAGCTGCAGTATCTGACCTGCCACCAGTCATCTGAGCCTTTGGCCACCACTTTGGTCAAGTGCTACAGCACCTCTGTGGCCCTCCAAATCAGCCCAGCGCCCATCAGCCCACCATGGGAGGACCCACTGCTAGAGAACCCAGGCAGGCTGTCTATTCACTGGGCCCTGGAACATCCTGTCAGTCACTGGGTGGCCTTTTCACTCCTCCGCTTGGTCAAATTCTCACCCCCGAACCTTCCCTCAGCCCCCAGCCTCTGCTAGAGCAGTGCTTCTCAGCCTTTGCTGCATGTTCACATCACCTGGGAGCTGGACACCTGCCTGTGCCCAGGCTGCACCCCAGTTGGGGTGGTCAATCCCTGGGATGCAGTGGTGTTTTGTTTTTTTAAATGGTCCAGGTGATTCCTCCATGCAGCCAAGGTGGAGAAGCAGAGTTAATTCGCCTTTTGTTGTTCTTTATCACTTCATCTTGCTCAGCTTTTGCTCCTGAGCTTGTTTTGGTTCCCTGGACAGAGCCATGACATAGGTTTGTCCAGCTCTGCCCCTGGTCGCTCCCAGCCAAGGCCCTTGGCATTGGCCTGTTTGCTGGAACCTTTAACAGCCCTCTCTTCCATTTCCTCCCCTGGCTGCCAGTCAGCATCTGCTCCTTGGTTTTTTGTCCTCTCTCCTCTCCCCAGCCTTCCTCTGCCCCTCATTTTGTCACTGTTCTCCCCCACCAGCCTCCCACCCCCAACAAACCTCCCTGTCCTGGGCCTTATTTTCTTCTTCCAGAACAGTTGGAAATCTGCACGTATAACCTGCTAAACTCATTGTATGTAGAGTACATGCAAGGATATTTGTGCAGTGCTTTTCCATAACAGTAAAAAAATAGGAGGGGGAAATGATTTGGAAACTAATTATCCAACAAATGGGACTGATTAATTGCAGTACAACAACTATTAAAATATTTACAAAGAATTTTTAGAGCTATGGCATATCAGGTTAAGTGAAATAAGCAGAATGTAATATTACATATAGTATGAGCTATACTATTTATTTATAGGAAAAAAAGCCTGGAGGAAAATATACCAAAATATTAACAGAGCTTGTCTTGATGTGGTAAGATTATAGTTGACTTTCTTTTATTGTTACAATTTCATGTTTTGTTTTTTAAAAATTAGACACTGGTCATGTATTACATTTGTCATCAGGGAAAAGTGATTTAAAAAGATGAATTGGGGGAGATGTTCATGTCAGATGGTGGGTTTTTGCATCCATCCAAGTGTGTAATGGTGAATTTTCGTTTTGGACAACATGGGCTTAGTAGAGGAGAGTCCCAGGGTAGAGTCTGGAGGAGAACCTTTTAAGAAAATAAGTTTCTCCAGCCTGGGCAACATGTTGAAACCTCATTTCTACAAGAAATACAAAAATTAGCCAGGTATGGTGTTGTGTGCCTGTAGGGAAGCTGAGATGGAAGAATCACCTGAGTCCAGGAGGTTGAGGCCTCAGTGAGCTGAGATTGTGCCACTGCCCTCCAACCTAGGAGACAGAGCAAAACCCTGTCTCAAAAAAAGAGGGAGGGAGGGAAACAAAAGAAAGAAAAAAATAAGGTTCGCTTAAAGGGAAGGCCCCTGAGAGGGGTCAGCCCAGTTAGCCATCACTGGATGGAGAAGTACATCCTAGCAGTGGGTTCTTTGCCCTCTCCCAACTTAGTGTCCTCCTGGCACCCTTCTGAGTCAGCTGGAGAGGTGGGTGCCTTTATGAGCCTCATTCAGGTAGTGGGTGCTGATGGGCTCCCTCTTGGCCTCAGAGCACCACTGATGTTTTTCTTTGTGCCATCTCTGCAGTTGGTTAACCTTTGGTTATTATACTTGCCTTGCCCTGATAAGAGGAGTTAATTGAGTAATTATTCATTCATCAGGATAATGTCACTTAATAGAATCCCAGGTGTAATTGAATGGCTTCTCCTGACCAGTGACTTGTGCTTGATTTTGCGTGTTCCACTAAAGAAAATAGTTTGCAGATAACACCTGCCTGTTCATTAATAGAATAAAGTTGTTACACAGCCAGACCACTAATAACAATCAGCAAAAGAATTCTTCACAAAATAAAGTGGGAGGAAATGCACATCATTTTTTTTTAACTTCTCTGTCCTGGGCCTTGTATAGCTGCAGTTATGGAAGTTGGATGCTTTTAGCTGCAAATAAAGAATATCTGATTAAAACTGGCTGAAATGGCAGGGATTTGTTAATTTCACATGGCAGGAAGTCTGGGCACTAGATCATCTCAGAGTTGCAACCCATTGATCGGGGTTGTCAGTTAGCATTTTCTTTTTCTTTTCTTCTTCTTCTTCTTCTTCTTTTTTTTTTTTTTTTTTTGAGGAGTCTTGCTCTGTTGCCAGGCTGAAGTGCAGTGGCACAGTCTCAGCTCACTGTAACCTCTGCCTGCCAGGTTCAAGCGATTCTCCCACCTCAGCCTCCCAAGTAGCTGGGACTTCAGGTGTGCACCACCACACCCAGCTAATTTTTGTATTTTTTAGTAGAGACAGGGTCTCACCATGTTGGCCAGGATGGTCTTGATCTCTTGACCTCATGATCCTCCTGCCCCAGCCTTCCAAAGTGTTGGGATTACAGATGTAAGCCACTGTGGCTGATGAACATTTTCCATTTTTCTATCTTGCCATCCTGTGACCAGATGGCCACATGGTCACAAAATGGCTGCCACAGCTCCAGACATCCTGTCCTTACACAGTAGCATCCCAAGCAGGAAAGAAGAGGAACAGCAACACAAAAGGCCTTCTCACTTGCCCCTCTCTATCCAAAGAGAAAAATCTGTTTCCCATAGGCTGTCAGTACACTGTCCTGTATTGCTCAGTAACTCAAATTGGACTACATAGGCGCCTCTAGACCAGTCACAAGCAAAGAGGAGCAGGGCTGCCCTTCTTGTCTTTTGTAATCAGTGACCGGCATCCACTTGTCCTTGGCTCTTGTACCTTGTAATCAACTGCCTTTTGTGTCGAGGCTGTCAGAGTGTTCTGTCTACTAAAATGGACTTGGATTTGTGGAATAAAGAGAATTCTTCCTTTAATCCTCTTTCTGTAGCATTTTAGAGATTTATGGATATAGCTGTAGAAGGGAAAAAGAAAAATCCTGTTTCTCTCTCTTCCATGCAATAGCTTGTTAAAGTAAGAAGGAAATGATTAGTCTGTTCAGTTTGAATCCTGTTTATTGAATGACTAAAGGATGTAAATGGCCTTTGTAAGACATGAAGTGTAATGCAGACAGAAAGGATAATTATTGAGGAAAAGAGGTGCTATGACATATCATAAGAGCCTTTACTCCTATTTTGGCTCTTAAAACTCTGTTTTACTTTTGTTTTAGACCTAGAAGGTTTTGACTCCGTGGTGTCATCTACTGAGAAACTCAGTCATCCGACCACAAGTAGACCAAAAGCTACGGGGAGGCGGCCTCCATCCCAGTCCCTCACTTCTGTAAGTGTCTCCTCATACTGTATGTCCCCTTACTTCTCTACAGCCGAAAAGCAGAACAAATTAGAGACTCTAGCTAAGGACTCTTCTGCAAGCAGCCGATTTGAGGTCACTACAGGAGAGGGAAGCCATGAGATATACTGCCAACGAGAAGTGATTTCAGAGTCTTCTTGAGTCGAGCGCCATTTCTTTCTATTTGTTCTTTGTGTTTCTGCCAGCAAGGTAGGCACTCCCTATTCCCACCTTCCTGTTCTTTTCTTCCAGAATGATTTTTATTTGAACCTAAAATGAAATGGGTAAGAAACAAAGATCATGTTTTATGGTGGGGAAAGGAGAATGAGGCTGGTTTGGTCTAAAAACAAAACTTTACTAAATAAAGATCTGCTCCTACATAGCGCCAGGCGGTGGCCAAACCTTTCTTTCTCAAATCCCCGTTGCCTGTACCCTCCACAGAATACCACGCACACCTTCAGGATATTGTTTTCAAACATAAGAGGCACCTGGTAATGAAGGAGAGAGTGATTGGAACACTCAGGATAACCCATAGAAGATTTTTGTTTGCGTTGTTTTGAATGACTTTTATTGTGAGCCTGTTACATGTTTATTGTACCAAATTTGAACTGTAAAATGTATAAAGAAGAGTTACCTGTAATTTTGCTCCCAGTGCAAAGAACCTTTAACTTTCTGCTATACGTCCTTAGCTTTTTAAAAAATTTATTTGTATATGTAAAATTATTTCTTCACAAATGGGATTACGTAGTATGCATCGTTTTGAAACTTGCTTTTCTCCTTTTCTGTTGTGTGCCTTTCTCCCCAGTCATGACAACATTCTTCCCTGACATCACATTTCATGGCTGCCCATTTTTCTAACCTACTAGTATGTGAGCGTTTAGCCAGTGTACCATTATTGGGCATTTATGTTGTTTCCAGTTCCTCATTATAACCAACACTCAAATAAATGTCGCTGCAGAAAAATCTTGATGCTGCTATAAATTATTGACTTGGGTAAAAATTTTCTGGAAGTGGGTCAAAGGGAAATGTATGCTTTGCTTTTGCTACACGTGTACTGTCCCCTCCAAGCTCACCTTCCACAAGTTGTGTTTGAGTATAATCAGTATCTTTCTCTCTCTCTCTCTCTCCTCTCTCTCTCTCTCTGTTTCTATATAGCACATTGCCTTGTTCCAGTGAGTCTAAATCCTTATGACCCCCACCCAGATACACCAAGGAATTAATTAACCTTTTGCAGGTTTCCCAGGATGCTTCCTATTTTTATGTCATCACTGATCCTACCTAAGGTGTCATCATTTAGAAGAAAAAGAATGTCACTTCCTTGGAGCCTCTTCTCTCCTATCTAGAGTCTGGAAGTATGGTTTGAGTCATCCTATTTTTCCTCTTAGTGTGAAAGAAACCTAACTTTGCATTGACACCTTTTGGTAGAAAGACTTTTAAAAGTAGCTGACTTTTATTGTTATACAAACTTCTCTGTCAACACCACCTTCTTTCCCCTCTCCCTCTCACCTCTTCACACCCCCCACCTCAGCACCCCTTTTATACCCATGACCTATTTAGTTGCTTCTTAGTATTTCTATATTTTGTTTTTCAATCCTACCTCCTCCATCTTCTCTATAAATCCTTCATCATTTTTGCCTTCCTTCCAAATTCTTCCCAACTTTTCAAGGTCTAGAGAGCCTCATGACTTCCAGAATTACAGACAGGTTTAAATTACCATCTCTTGTCCCGCCTTTGGTCCATACATCCCATGCCCGACAGTTTGTATGTATTTGGAGGATGTGGTAAGGACATACCATCTTCACTGCTGTCAGACCAGACAGTTGGACATTCATTCAACAAATCTTTATAGACATCTGTCCCCTATGTGCTTGGCATTGCTGTGCCAGGTACCAGAGATACAACTGAAATGAAAAGCACATGGTCACTGCCTGCAGGAAGCTTATGGCACAGTGACTCAACGTTTGGCATTTTATATAAAGTCACTTCATTTGCAGACTGAAAACAAAAGAATATAGTGTGCTTTAAAGTATAAGTACTATATTCTCTTCCCTTCATTCGCATTCATCCCCACTTGGATCTGTACATTGAATTCCTATTTACTCTTCTTCCAGTTAGCACCTGTGGATTTTTCATAGGCAAATGGAGACTTAGTGGATATGAGTATATTCCTCAAAGGCCACTGGGGAATATGATGGAGGAAATACACTAGTCATGACCCTTGTTGAAGCTCTTTATGTTTATAGGATTCAAAGAACAAGCTTTGATTGCCAGCTCATGAACCCTAGGTCGTATTGGAGGGAACTGGCTTTTTGAATAAAATCTCAAAAAGAAGGGATCCAGGCATGGCATGGTGGCTAAGCAGTTAAGCCTAGATTAATAAGAAAGCTTGGTGGTGGGGGAAACTTTATTCTAGGTAATTGGATTTTCAGATTAAGTGAAGATTAACAAATAAAACCTGTTAAATTGAAAACTTTGCTTAAAAATTCCCTAAAATGCATTGCATTTCTGCCTTAAGTAAATAGAATAAAACATACAATATTTTGGGGTATAATTTTTGTATAATGATACCAAGTGGTGATTTTAGATGGGACTGTTTTTCTACCACCAGGGTAGAAAGCATAGAGATAAAGCTGAAGACGAGCTTGTCCAAAGAGATCTCTGGAAGATTCTTCATTATAAAGGATTCCTTGCTATAGGAACTCTTACTTTAATTTGCTTTGTTCTAAAATTGGGAAATTCTAGCCCAGTGATCATCTATGACTAAGTGACTTCCAGTGAATTGGTCCAGAATTTTTTTTTCAGACAGGGTTCCACTCTTTTGCCCAGGCTGGAGTGCAGTGGTGCAATGCTCCTGGCTCACCACAGTTTCAACCTCTGGGGCTCAAGTAATCCTCCCACCTCAGCCTCCTGAGTAGCTGGGACTACATGTGCCAACTACCGTACCTGGATAATTTTTGTATTTTTCATAGAGATGGGGTTTCTCCATGTTGCCCAGCTGGTCCCAAATTCCTGGGCTCAAGAGATCCTCCTGCCTCAGCCTCCCAAAGTATTGGGATTACAGGTGTGAGCCACTGCATGCAGCCTCATCTGGCTTTTTTATCTTTACAGTGATCTTCACAGTGAGGCAGAAAGAACAGGGGTATCGTCCTATATTTTACCAAAAGATGCTGCCATTCTGTACATATATTATAGCAATACAGACTCCAAAATGGATGTTGATTGTCAGCAGTAATGAGGGCAGAGATTTAACAGCAGGTACCAAAGGAGGTATGAGCTTGTTGCACTAGTAAGCAACGCTGTGCTCTCAGGCTGAGGAAACACTGGTGGCTGGACCACAGGCCTGGTGAGCCCTTGTCCCTAGAAATGGTTTTCTCTCAGACACATCCTTTAGGACACTTCCACATGCAGATTTAGCAATCCTGGAAAAGATCAAGGAAAAGGAAGAGGAGGGAATGAAGGAGAGGCAGATTAGAGGTAGCCTCTCATTGACCTGTGTGTTCTTCCTTGGTGGACTGTCAGCCCTGTGTGGGCAGGCATCCTGTGTGGCGCGTCACTAAGTCTGCAGTACAAAGCTCAGTGCTTGGCACATGGTAGCAAATGTTTAGAGCTAGCAGCAGGAAAGGATGGACGATGGATGCTTGCAAGGATGAAGTGAGTGATGGACATCAGTGGCAAGATCCCTGGTTTAAGGAAACCTTGCTTCTTAGTTGCAGTTCTGCCACTAACCAGCTATGTGACTCGAACACATGAATAACAGCACACTTTTTTGCCTCAGGGTTATCGTGAGAAGACAAAACAGCAGTGTCAAGTGCTTTGGAAAGCATACAGCATTATATTAACAAAAGCGGTGTCAGCTAAGGTATAATTCTGACAAAAGCATTTTCTTTTGGCTTTATCAGTCATCCCTTTCAAGCCCTGATATCTTCGACTCCCCAAGTCCCGAAGAGGATAAGGAGGAACATATTTCACTTGCGCACAGAGGAGTGGACGCGTCAAAGAAAACTTCCAAGACTGTTACCATATCCCAAGTGAGTGACCAGCCATGAGAGGGTGTCCCCTGTAATTTCATGCATGTACTAGTGATGGGTTATATACCAAACAAAGATATGCAGACAGTGCAGGTGTTTGTCATTCTTCAATGACAGCAACTCCATTGCTAATCAAAATCTCCAAGGCATGTTGCCATCTCTGAAACTAGGCAGAATCCGTGAGATACAAGTTCAGTTATTTCCCATGTTTTCCTCTTGTGGTTTGATCTCCTCTTCATACCATCACACATACATTCACAAATGCCTTCACACACCACCCCCATCACCACAACCAGAACCACGTAAAAGCCTTGAGGTAGCTGGAGAGAACACATTATTCACTGACATGCCCTCTGCCCATAGATCTTGTCTTTTATGTTCAAAGCTGGTCACAAATGACAGTTGGAAGATCATAAATATAAATAATGTGGTCTTTTAAAGAAAATTGATTTGGATTCATATTCTATGATAAATTTATATAGTCAAAAAACATTTCAATTTCATTCAATTCCCAGGGAATGGTATAGATACTTTATTAGTTTATGAGAAACAAGGAAGACATTTAACTTTAGCTACTTCATGTAACTTTTGAGGAGTATCTTGTACAAATTCTCTTCTTCCTATGAATACGAACCAAGATTTTAAAATTTCATTTTCTCTTACTAAGAAAACCCAGTTGACTAGAATTATTTTGTCTGAATATTAACAACTTATTTCTGTCTAAAAACAGAAAACTGTAGTCACTTGAAGCAGGAATTAGCACAAAGAAATCAAAGGTTACCGTGGAATTTCCTTCTCCATAGATGTAAGAATTTACATATGTAGATTTCTTAAAAATCTGATACACTAAGCAAAACGTGATCCTATACAACAAATCAATTGTAATTATTAACGAAATTGAAACATTCTTTCTTTATAAGAGGATTCCATCTGCAGAAATTGAATTTGACCCGATTTTTTTTTCTGGTGACCACAGGTATACCTACAGTTTGAGTCTGACATCCCTGGGGTGTCTCTACAACGACATCTACTGGTGAACAGTGGGTGTTCACGGTTCTGATTTGTACAGTTCTATCGCATTAGCCTATTTCACTTCCTCCAAGTTATCATGTCCTGCTCTTCACTGCTTCTACAAATTCTGCTTGAACTAATTTGATCAGGAAGTGTGGTGACCTATACTCTTTGAGGGCTTAAAATTGCTCAGTAGCCGAAATGGGCCGGGAGAGTAAGTCATGTAGGAAATGCCAAGAGAAGCAGTGATTTGAGAAGTGTCTGGAAATCAGTCAATGCAAAGGCATTGGTGGGTCTCACAGAAGTATGGGAGGTCTGCAAGGCTGCAGGATGGGAAAAAGGAAAAGGCATGAACCCAGAAATAGGTGACAAGCAAAGGAGAGAAGGACAGGAGAGCACAAATCTTCAGACTCGGGCAGCCACAGTGGTAGTGCTGGACTTGAGGGATCTGGTTGACCGTGAGGGAATTGACACCCCGTTCCGCCAGTTATTACCTATGAGTCTTGGAGAACTACTCAGCCACCTCTCTAAGCCTCAGTTTCATGCTTGGTAAAATGTGTGCCAACTGATCGTTGTTCAAATTGTTTAGCTGGCGTCCAACATGTGATCAGTGCCCCATAAATGTCAGTTCCTCTTCCCTCTTACTCTAACTCCTAACAGTAAAGCACAGGCTGGCGGAGCGCTATCCCTGGCAGCAGAGAGCGCTTTTCCTCAATGGCAACTTGGCAGAAAAAGGGCGAGCAGAGAGTCTGGGAATGATGGCCCATCTGCTTTTGGCTTTCTCTGCCCAGTCTCTCCCTCTAGCACAGCCTGAATCCAGACTCTGCCTCCTCGCCATGTGAGCCAAGCCCCTTTTTGGCTCCTGTGCTGGGGTAGCCTGCTGGGCACCTGCTGCTGGAGGGAGTCTCGCAGCCACGTTGCCAAGCTTCACCACCAGCCTCCACTTCTGCTCTGTCGCTCACGCCCTCACCTCCCAACATCCTGTCCCACTCTTTTCCCTCCTCCCCACCTGCCTCCCAGCTCCCTTGTTGGTGCCTCCTCCCCAGGGGCCTACTGGGCGCCCCTCTTCCCTCTTGCCCATGACTGTCTACCTGGGCCCTCCTGACCTCCTCAGGATACTTCTCCATCAGGCCTCCCTGGCTGGTCTCCTCCATCTTTGGCCTGGCCCTTCACTGACTCTTTCTCTCAACATACCATGCAGCTTAGGGTCTCCCCTGTCCTGGAAAGTGAACAGAACTCTTCCCTGATTCCACCTCCCCCTGAGGCTTCTGCATGAGTATGCTCCCTCTCTCCTGTCTTCCTGCCTCAGCCAAGTTTCTGGAAAGAGAGTCCTAAACTTGCAGGCCACATCCTTCACCTCCTATCCAGGTGCTCATCTACCATGAGCAGGTTTCTGTCTCCCTGGCTCCACCAAATGGACCCCACCCAGTTTTCCTCTTAGCACCCTTTATTCCACTTCATTCCTTCTGGACTCTCCTCCAGGGGCTTCCTTCTGGAATCTCCTCCAGGCTTCTCTTCTGCATCATCCCCTCTTCCTCTCCTCTTTCCCAGTCACTAAGGGCTCCTAAAATCCAATGTCTTAAAAACAGAAATCATTTTCTGGCTCTTCAACCTGCTCTTTCTTCCATGAAAGGTACAACTTCAATGCCTGGTTCATCCTCTGCACCCGTGGTTTCTGATCTGTCTTTCCTCCTCCACCCTCTGCATCCCGTCCAGGAACACATCTCTCTGCTCACAAGGCATCTGCTATATGAGGGCAGGGACTCTATCCTCCTGGCCCACTCCTGCCCCTAGCACTGGGAACAATGCCTGATGCTCTATGTTCGCTGAGCCTGCCTTCATCATGTCACTCAAAGTTGTGTCTTTCCTAGCCACTGCCTGGGTCAAACCCTGACCGCTTCTAGCTTACGTTGTGTAACACTCTCCCGGCAGTTCTCTCCAGCTCCAGATCTGCCAACCCTTAGGCCCTTCTGCAGCCAGCATGGTCCTCAGCACAGTGTACCATCCTCACACCCTTTCACCTAGCCACTTGTACCTCCCAGCCTTAGCTCTACCCCCAAGGCCCTCTCTTGCCCTCTCTGACATTCTAGCAGTGCTTCCCACCAATGCATTTTGCTCTGTGGTCTCTAGACCTTTGCCTAGCATGCTCCCTCCCCCTGCAGCTTCTTTCTCTAAGTGTGCCTCCTTTCCTCTGGCTACTTATTGGTCCTCCTCCAAGACAGGACTGTCAGCGCCTGCTTGCGATGCCTGCCCATCCGGATGACTGGCTCCTTTTCTGTGTTTCTGGGGCTCTGTATGCTCGCCTCCCTCTGTGCAGTCTTCCCCCACGTCGCAGTGCATTGGTCTGTCTGTCTGTCTGTGCCCCACTGGGTTCTCAGCTCCCTGGAGACCAGGAGAATGCCTTAATATCTTGTTCACTTCAGAGTTTGTGGTACCTGGCATCAGGTGTCTGCCCACATGTGGTTGGGCATCTCGATGGGTATATTGCACCAGTCAAGAACTCTCTGTCTAGAAAGAAGTTCAAATTTAAAATACATAGAAGGCGGCACATGAGTGAGCGGGAAATGCCTGTACCAGGCAGGCCCTTAGTGGCTTGTGGATGAAGGAACAAGTGAATGGAATGTGTGGAGAGAGGCGGGGACAGTGGTGTTAATGGAGAGTTTGACAGGACAAAGGTGCAGCACACAAATCCCCGGCCCTGAACCCTCCCTGCCTTCCCTCGTCACAGGTGTCTGACAACAAAGCATCCCTGCCACCCAAGCCAGGGACCATGGCAGCAGGTGGTGGTGGGCCAGCCCCTTTGTCCTCGGCGGCACCCTCCCCCCTGTCATCCTCTTTGGGAACAGCTGGACACAGAGCCAACTCCCCGTCTCTGTTCAGCACGGAAGGAAAACCAAAGATGGAGCCTGCGGCCAGCAGCCAGGCGGCTGTGGAGGAGCTAAGAACACAGGTCCGCGAGCTGAGGAGCATCATCGAGAACATGAAGGACCAGCAGAAGTGAGTGCCCGAGGACTTTTGCGGCCACCACCCAGGTTGCTCTCTGCCAGGCCAGCACCTAGTTCTGAAAGTGTGGATCCCAGCCTGCCTTGGAGGGTGGGCCTGGCCTCCCGGGTGATGGTGGCAGCAATGGTGGGAGTGTGTGTAGATCCTGAGAGTCTTAATTTATACTTAAATTATGCTGCATGTTTTTGCTGGATTTACTATGTGCAGAAAGGGCACAGGCTGGCCATGGGATGTAGAGAGATGAGTCCATGGCAGGGACTGATGCTCTCAGCAGGCTGCTAAGAAGAAAGCATTTAAATCTCAAAAAAAAAAAAAAAAAAAGTGGGGAGGCACTGCTCTGAGTAAACTGAGACTTGAAGAGTTTAGTGATCTTGGCTGTTTCTTGAGAGAATCAGGGAAGGCATCTCAGAGAGGTATTTCCCGGGTAGTATTTTGATTGAATGATGATTTAGGATTGCTAAGAGCACACTACTCCTGCAGCGGGAACAGAATGTAGATTCCTGGGTACACACGGCAGCCTGGTGAGGTCAGCGCATCCCCAGGCAACTGGCCTCCTTGGATCAGGAGGTGCCTGGGGTGGTGACAGGAGATGCAGCCAGAGACTTAGAGTGATGAAGCCCTCTGCCAGTCTGGGGCCAGCAAAGGCCTTTCACCTGCCTCCCGCTATGGGGCTAGAGGGTCCTAATGTGTTTTGTGGTCACTTTTGGGGGCTAACTGGGTTAAACAAGTTAATTTCTTTTCTGAAGGGCTCCTGAGAGCCTTCGCTTTGCTTGGGAGGATGGAGAGAATAGCATATGCAAGGTTTCCCACATCTGCTTAATCACAGAACCTTTTTTTTGCTAGAGCATCCTAGGATGAGGGTTCCATGGAACTCACTTTGAGCAATGTGGCTCTAAGCAGGTTGTGTTCTACTCAGGCTGGGAGGTACCATATAGAGTTGTAACCTCTTAGACTTACACCAGTCTGGAAGAGATCCATCAGATTATTATACAGGACTGGCAAGATGGTATGTGAGAGGGTATCCTGGGGCAGCCAGGCTACCCCTAATTCCTTAAAGTCCTCAGCTCCTATCTGGCTCTGGAGGTTACTTGTTTGGGTACCCAAAGGCCCCATCCCTGCCCAAGTGACCTGTTTCCCTTGCCTAGACAGGACATCCCAGAGGCCCCAGGATACCACAGAGCACTGGTTCTTGGCCTTCTCAATAGGACCACATGGTGTCAGACTGGCTTGAATTTAGGACTTTAGCCCTTTGGACCCTCTAAGAAGTGCCTGGAACGTCTGAAATGGCCTGTGCTTCGGGGCTGCCACACCATGTTTCTCCCCCACTGTGAAGCTGAAAATAGTTGGTGGGAATTGTCTTTCCCCAGCCAATATCTCTTGAATCAACACCCACGGTAGCCTCTCTTCCAAGGCCTGCCTTTCACTGCCTACATCAGTCTGACCTTCATGCTTAGGGTCAGTGGGTCCCCACTAGTCTCTTGTGTTAGCTCTTCATATCACTTTCCTATTAGACTTAACTTAAGTCCACGGCAGCTCTCCTCATCCCCAAATATGCTGGTTCTCACCTCCCTGCTTTTCCCTGGCTTTTCTCTGTCAATTCTCCCATCTTTCTTCCTCCTCATAGACTTACAGTCATTTTCATTTCACTAGTTCAAGACTTAGTGACTTTCTGTGGACTGCTTTCCTCAGTTAACTCCCCACAACTGGACTGTTTGAGGCTTGCCTGCCAGTCTCCTGGGGTTGGACCATTTGCTTAGGCTCTCACCTTCTTCCTAAGTCCTAAGTAGTACCCACTGAGATATGGGTGCATAAAGTGTGCTTAAATAAATACTGTAATGAATCACAACTGCTCCATATCAGTTGTGATATAATCCAGTAAGTTGACAGTAGGGCTGGGACACTGCCCCAGAGATAGGGATCATCTTGGTGCTCATCTGAAGTGAGCAAATGCAATATAACTCCACCTTATTTTACTGTGGTGTCTCAGCCACCTTTGTTTCTTGATTTTTCCAATCCAGTCTGTAAAAATGTGCATGTGAAATGGGGTGTTTGATATCTTAAAATGGAAGACAGCTCTCTGCCCAGTGTTTGGATAGTTGTGGTGTCCTAAGTATAGAGCCCTGACTTTGTGGGATGGTTAGTGTTGTGCACTTCATTGTTTTATGCTGGAAAGGGCATTAGGCCGTGGATCCTAAGTCATGCCAGTTTCTCTGAGACGTGATTGCCATACCATTACCCAAATTATTTTACCCCCAAGTTTTTGGGACTTAATATGTAGGATTTTGTGAGACTCTATGAAAACACACCAGTAACCTCTTGGCAATTCAAAACTCTGTTGAAATTAAAGGAAATGGGCCAGGTGTGGTGATTCATACCTGTAATCCCAGAACTTTGAGAGGCTGAGGTGGGTGGATCACCTAAGGTCAGGGGGTTCAGTACCAGCCTGGCCAACATGGTGAAACCCCATCTCTATTAAAAATATAAAAATTAGCTGGCCTTGGTGGCACATGCCTATAATTCCAGCTACTCAGGAGGCTGAAGCAGGAGAATTGCTTGAACCCAGGAGGCGAAGGTTGCAGTGAGCTGAGATCACACCACTGCACTCCAGCCAGGGTGACAGAGTGAGACTCTGTCTCAAAAAAAAATTAATTAATTAAATAAAGGAAATATATATGGAGTGGCGAAAACATCTGCAATAAAAATTGTAAGAAGAGCCAGGCTTGGTGGCTCATGCCTGTAATCCTAGCACTTTGGGAGGCCAAGGCAGCAGGATCGCTGGAGCCCAGGAGTTCAAGACCAGCCTGGGCAACATAGTGAGACCCTACCTCTACAAAAATAATTTTAAAAATTGGCCTGGCATGGTGGTATGTGCTTGTAGTCCTAGCTACTCAGGAGGCTGGGCAGGAGGATCACTTGAGTTTTGGAGGTTGAGGCTATAGTGAGCTGTGATTTTGTTACTGCACTTCAGCCTGAGCAACAGAGCGAGACCTTGTCTCAAAATATATATATAATAAGTACATTTAAAGCCCAGTAATTTTGTAATAAAGGAATAGTTATAGGGAAGATAACAGAATATGAACCTGGATTCGTGAAGTCTAGTCATTGGGCAAGTCAGGCCACCACGCTGGGCTTCTGTTTCCCCATCTCCTTTTGGGAGAAGTTTGGACTAAGGGATTTCAAAGGTCACTTCCAGACCTACCAGTTGCTGGCTACGTATTTTAGGGGCCCCAAAATAATGGCAAGCCTTTCTGTCTGAAACAAATTTTCAGCAGTAACAAGGGAAAGATAATATGATGTTTTGTCCACATTTTCTTTGTGAAAAAGGATCACATGGATTTTGTAGTGATAATAAGAGGTTTCTGATCTCTGATGAGGGAAGTCTGGGCTTTTGGTTAATTTCATTGCCTTTTCCATTACAGACGAGAGATTAAACAGTTATTGTCTGAGTTGGATGAAGAGAAGAAAATCCGGCTTCGGTTGCAGGTGAGTCCCTTGGGGTTCTGCTGCCTGTGAGTCCTAGGCTCAGTGGGGCAGGACAGAGCCAGGGCTTTATTTAAAAAATAAATGACTATTACCTCTCTGCAGATCTGGATACACTTCCTGTGACCATTTTCTTAGACTCATATAGGCTTATGACACATCGTTTCCTCTACGAAATCTTGGGGAAGGGAAACATTAGTAAATGTGCCCCAAATTGGGTTTCTCATTTGGAATTTATCTTCTTTTTTGTTTTGTTTTCTGTTTTTGTTTTTATTTTATTTTTTTTGGATACAGAGTCTGTCTCACTCTGTCACCATGGCTGGAGTGCAGTGGCACAATCTCAGCTCACTGCAACCTCTGCCTCCTGGGTTCAAGCAATTCTTCTGCCTCAGCCTCCTGAGTAGCTGGGAATACAGGCGCATATCACCAAGCCCAGCAATTTTTTTGTTATTTTTAGTAGAGATGGGGTTTCACCATGTTAGCCAGGATGGTCTCGATTTCCTGACCTCAGGTGATCTGCCACCTTGGCTTCCCAAGGTGCTGGGATTACAGGCGTGAGCCACTGTGCTCAGCCTGGAATTTATCTTAAATATCTCCTCTGCAAAAAAGCCCCTCCCCACCTCCATTTCCAAGAGGCCTCATTATAGTAACTGCCAGAGGGCATGACCCTGGGGAGGCCCTGTTGCCAGCTAGCTTCTGTCATGTGGTCACTACAGCTCCAGGGGCCACAGCTGTCCACTTTTGGGGGCATTTGGTCTTGATTGCTCCTGATGGCATGTCTGTCCTGCCAAGGCATTAGAGCTCTGTCCCTTGTAGCCTCTGATTCAACACTACCATTAGCAAATGGCAAGGAATCTGGGAGTTCTGGTTGACCCGAAGGTGGACTTTCGGCTTTCATCCAGTTGGCGCCTTTGTGGTGATGGGGACCCATATTGCTTAACAAAGGATAGGTAGCTGCTTCCCATCACTTTGAGGGTGCTGACAGATACCCCCCTGGGCCAACCACAGCTGCCTTCCAACACTGCCAGATGGCTCAGCCTGTCAGGACCGCCTGCTCTACCTTCTGGCTAGGAAACTGGAATTGTCGCCGCTTTCGACAAACTTTGCAGCCTGGCAGCCTGAGAATCAAAATGTTCACCATTTCCTAGTGCCTTGGTCTGTGTGCCTGTTCTGTGTTGATGTCACTTCTGGCATTGCTGCTGATTGTCCATGCAGATGTCATGTCACCTTTAAAATTGTCAGGTTGATTATTTTCTTTCAGTCAACCAGGTTGAAAACCTTTGAGCTTCTATAAAACCAGCCGATTCATTATGACTTTGTTCCATTATTTTTCTCTTTCTAGATGGAAGTGAATGACATAAAGAAAGCTCTACAATCAAAATGAATACTTGATCAATGAAATGTCACATTATTCATCCTGAGTCTGAGACTCAAATTTTTCTGCCCCAGCCAAATAATCTTGTGCCAAAAGATTAAAGGTTTGCCTCAACATGTCCCTGTTTGAAAGATTAGCACAAAAGTCTTGATAGCACAACACAAATTCCATCCCAAGAGGAGAATCTTCCCCAGGGTTTAGTCCCGGGGCTGGCACTTGTTGTGACTTACCCAGAGCCAAATTGTGCTAAAGGCTTTTCTACTCTGAGATCTCAATGCGAAATGAAAACTCAGGCAGTTTAGTCCATAGTGGTACTATTTTGATGATATTTCCATTAATAAAAATGTAATTTCAGATTCTTCGTTTACAAGCTTTATAATTTTATGATTTTTTAATCGTGTTTTGTCACAGACTCCCCTAGTGTTTGTACTACATGTAGTCAGAAGCAAGCGTCCTTTTCTTTTGCTTCAGGCTGAGAGCTGCCTTGCTCTTTGTCTCCCTATTAGGATTCTATTACATATTCAATTTTAGGTTCAAGCTGTCCCTTCCCCTGCCAGCAAGCCTCACCACCCTAAGAGAAATTTTAGCTTATATGTGATGGTATATTTACAAAAAGAGAAGAGAAAATCTGGTATTTGCAATGATCTGTGCCTTCTTTTTACCACCCTCTTGATTGGAGCTTTTGTGATGCAGCTACCATGATTCAAAAAAATTTTAAAATAAAAATTAAAAAAAAAAATTGCCACTTATCCAAGTCCACCTAGAGGCCACTGTCTTCAAAGCTTCTCTCACCCTAGCCAAAGGTCCTAAGAGGC